AGACCAGAGCCGATGAGGGCCACACTGAGGCAATGACAGTGGCCCTGAGAAAGAGAAATGAGTTTAGAAACGGGGTGCCAGGTAGTGGAGGGGCCATTCTTCAGGTGAGCAGAAGCGATTACGGAAAAGACCAGGTGTGGCTCTGGGTCAGTTAGCAGCAGGGCGGCCTCATCAGCGAACAGGATGGCTTTCCGATCTGCATTTGAGGCCAGCTCAGGATGAAGACCCTGTCCTCATCTGTGACAATGAAGGGTGTGAGCTTTGCTGCATTTTCACATTCAACAAACTCTCGTTTTATCCTACTTTATAGTTTACAAAGACTTTCCTTCTTGAAATTTGAAAACAATATCTTTTGTATTAGACAATTCAGGTATGACTATTAATAAGAACCAGATATTCCTAAGTGCTGGCGAGGGTGCAGAGAATCTGAGAGTCCTGTGTGTTGCTGATGGTGACGTCAAGCGGTGCAGCTGCTATGGAAAACATTGCACAAAGGCCGTTCTCCAAAACCTGGAGATAGCAAGAGCCTATAATCTGTCAGCTCCACTTTGGGGGCTGCAGCCAGATGGGCAGAGAGCAGGAACTGGACAGATATCCCTATGCTCAGTCCACAACAGCACTATTCACAGTGGCCCAAAGGTGACAGTGAACAGACTGTGGAACCACATCCAACACAAGACTATGCAACCTTAGAAGGATTAAGATTTTAAAGAAAGTTTTTTAAAGCTTTTACTTAAAACAATCTTTAAAACAACTAGCTGATTTTGCTTGTAAAATCACACAATGTCATGATGACACAAAAGTCAGTTTTCCCAAAGCATTTACTGAGTGATCCATCACGTATGTCCCTGGGTGAGTACTGAGGCTCTCTCGGCCACGAGTCCATTTCCTGTCTGGACCAGGGTGTCGTGGGCTGCAGCTTCTGTGCGGTGACCAGCAGGGAGGCAGTGTGGCTTGGTGGCTTCCGGGGAGGTGGCCAGGTTGGATCCCACAGCCACACTGTCTGGTCGTGAGTGCTTGGGGAAGTTAGTCAGTCCTTAGTTATTAGCAGTATCTTTTCTATATGCAAAACAGGAGAGAGAGTCTCTTGGTGACTTACTTTCCATCATCCTCACAATGGCTCAGTGGTGGTCAGGGTGGCATTTCAGCCCCAGGGCTTTGAGACCCATCACAGGGATGCAGGAGCAGCCCCCAGGGGTCTGGTGGTCACGGAGGCGTCATCTTAGGTCCATGGCCGGTCCCTCATGGCTCCACTGTGCCACTGTCCCCTACCATCAGGACCTGAGCATCTCTGCTCTTCCTGCACAGTGACTGCCTGGGGCCAGCTGACTGGACTGAATCCACCACCCAAATGAAACCTGTCCTCCTGTACATTGTGAGTGTCAGGTACTGAGGCAGACTCCAAAGTTAAAGCTGTTTTCCCCATGCAGAAAAAGAAAATCTTGAAGGTTGCAAAAGTTTTAAGTAAAAAACTTGGGACTTTAGTTGAAAGCATCTGACTTCTAAATTAAATCTTTTCTTGATTTATCATATTGCTTTTGGAAACAGATTCCATGTTCTGAGTCTCTGATATCAAATAGCTTTATTGAATTGTGAATACTGTCTTTTTATTAGCGAAGCGTTTATCTTAAGCATAAAAGGGATCTCTCTGATGTTTCTAAGACTGTCCACACAATTAAAATATCTCTGCCTCCTAAAGTATGAACAGGGGATGTTGGGAGCCGCGGCCGAGCCCGGTCGCCTTACTTGGCGGACGTGAGGCCTGTAAGAAAGAGCAAAGCCTGAGCTAGATTACCCCTCCCATCGAGTGTGCTAAGATGGCGCTTATCTCCTGCTTCCTGCTTGGTAAACAACCCGCTCTGTAAGATAGTCTGCCTAGCAACAACTGATGTTAGCCAATCAGCCCGCATCGCGCGCTTTGAACTGATTGGCCACTGTAACCCTATAAAAGTGAGTGCCTCTCCCGCCACGAGAGAAGAAGCACAGAAGGAGCCGCGGAGAGCGGACCGGTAGAGGCTTCGGGACAGACTGTAGAGAAGAAGCACGGAAGGAGCCGCGGAGAGCGGACCGGTAGAGGCTTCGGCCGGGAAGAATCCCAGGGCAGACTGTACGGAGAGGGAAAATAAAGAAAGCCCAGCCACTGCCAGATCTTGTCGTGTGTTCTTCCTGCCGGCCGGGAGCGACACCGACAACTGGTGGCCCGTACGGGGACTGATCAACCCCGAGACGCGGTGGTGGACTGCATTCTCCAGTATGGTGCTGCAGGACAGGTGAGTAGAGGATAAACCTGGGCCCTGGGTGGTGCGCACCTACAGGGTTTGTAGACTCCTCTCAGGCTCACGCGTAAGTGGCGGATTCCTTGGGCCTCACGCGGTGAGTAACATATTAAAAAAAAAAATGAGAAACATGCTAAGTAGCGGCACTAAGAGTGAGGGTAGTTACGGGGGGAGCTCTCAAGAACTTGTAGAAGTACAGTCAAGGAGCTCCCGAGAGGGGTCCGTCAAGGAGGACAAAGGTACAGAAGAGGAAGACAGGGCTCAAGCCTCGGAGTCGTCAGACTCCGAGGAAGAGGGAGACTTGAATGACGGGGAGGCCAGAAGGGCCGACTGCCGGGAGGCTAAGCCAAGTGATAGGGAGGCACACGGCTCTTTCGCCGCGTTGCGCCGAGAACTGCGCTCCGCTCAACTAGGCTTACGAAAAAGCAGAGAGCTTCTGAGCGCCCCCTGGCAGGGGAGGGAGACAGAACCTTCTGCTCCGCCCTGGAACTCGTTCCCGGAAGCGGTCCCTCGCCGCGAGGCCGCCGCCTGGGACTTCCCCCCTCTTCAGCCAGTACAGGAAGTAATGCTTAGGCCGCCATTTTCTACCCAACCGCAGCCACCATCTTATGATGCTCCGCCGCCGGCGGGACGTTATTTCCACAGACAGCTGTGGCGTGGGGGTCGTGTGTCTAATGAAGACCACCCGTTCCCAGGGATAGATAGCGGCCCCTATGGGATATATCCTGTACAAATGGCCCTAGGCCAGGGACGTAATGTGTGGGAACCCTTTGAAATAAAACAGATTAGAGAACTTAAAAGTGCTGTTACGACCTTCGGACCTACTGCGCCGTATACCATTGCCATGCTGGAGAACCTGTCTTCCGGGCCCCTCACCCCCGCGGATTGGGTTCAATTGGCAAAAGCATGTCTACCCTCAGGCAGTTACCTAGACTGGCGAGCCTGGTACGCGGAGTTCTCCGCCGAACAGGCTGAGAGAAATGCCAGCCAGGGAAACCGGGGATGGAATAAGGATATGCTTATGGGAGAAGGCCAACACGCAGATGATCAGACCCAGTTCCCCGGCGCTGTTTATGAACAAATTAATGCCACAGGGCTTCGCGCCTGGAAGCAGGTAAGTGGTGCTGGAACAGCCTCCCTATGTCTTTCAAAAATTGTTCAAGGCACCACGGAGCCATTCGTTGACTTTGTGGCCAGGATGCAGGATGCTGCCGATAAAATATTTTCCGACCAGGATGTGGCTCGTCCGCTCATCAGGCAGTTAATTTTTGAACAGTGTACAAAAGAATGTAAAGCAGCAATAGCCCCACATAAGAATAAGGACCTTAACGCCTGGATCAGAATATGCAGAGAAATAGGGGGGCCACTTTCCCATTCAGGAGTTGCGGCCCTCCTAGCCGCGGCAGCACAACAAAAGGGCCCTCGAGGGCCGAGGAAAGAGCGCAAGGCCAAGGGGTGCTTCAGCTGTGGGGACCCAGGGCATATCAAACGCGACTGTCCGAATAACACAAGCGCCAGGCCTCGCCCCAAAAACGAGGGATCGTATGGCGTCTGCGGGAGATGCAGAAAGGGCCCACATAAGGCAGAGGATTGCAGATCAGTCTATGATGCTCAAGGAAATCGTATTTGTGGCCGAGATGTTAACGAGCCAAAAAACGGCCAGAGGGGGCCCTCCTCGCCGGCGGGCCCCCACCCCCGAGACAGAACAACACAGGGTGGCAGCCTTCCACAAGGGCTACCCCTGGGTCAGCAGGCGTGGACCTCTGTGTCGCCTCCAGACTCATATTAGCGCCTGACATGGGTGTTCAGGTGGTCGAAACCACCTTCAAGGGACCGCTGCCTGAAAATACAGTTGGCCTAGTAATCGGAAGGTCCTCCACGGCCCTTCGGGGTCTCACCGTGATCCCTGGGGTCATAGACTCAGATTATACAGGAAATATTAAGATTATGGTTCAAACTCTTGTAGGTACTATGGTAATTAATGAGGGGGACAGGATAGCACAGCTCCTGCTGCTCCCCAGCCTCCATAAGAGGTTCCAGTACTCCACATGACTCTTGACAAGAGGCCCATGCTTTTGCTTAAGATCAATGGCAGACAATTAAAGCATGGTATCCCATACAATCCTCAAGGTCAAGGAATTATTCAGAGAGCTCACAAAAGCCTCAAAGAAGTTTTATATAAACAAAGAGGAGGAGTAAGCCAAGGCCTGCCTCCAAAGGCACGGTTATCTATGGCACTGTTCACATACAATTTTTTAAATTTAAACAATAATAACCGCTCACCAGCTATGGAGCATTCTAGTCCATCCCCTAGCAATAAGGGATGGGTGAAATGGAAAGATGTCCTAACAGGACAATGGATGGGCCCGGATCCGGTAATCAGCTGGAACCGAGGTGCGGTTTGTGTTTTTCCGCAGGAACTGGGACGGGAACCACTGTGGGTCCCAGAGAGACTGACACGTGCGACAAGTCCATCGGCCGAAGACCAGACTTGCCCCACCAGGGACCAGCCGTAGACGTAAAGTCAAGATGAGCCAAAAAAGGGCTGCCCTCTACACTGGGAGTGCTATCTGCTCCCTGCTTCTGCTTTTACTTATAGGACCATTCTTGCTCAGATGGGTCACATCGTTTATTAATGGACGCCTTGCGGCGGCACGTCGTCAGGTCCGCATGGTTGCCCATGCTGCTCTGGCAGCCGTCCAGAACGGGCAAAACGACCCCCAGGCATACGCATGGCTCGCTCGCATGGCCTACGACCGCGTTTAAAAGTGACAGGCTTCCCACATTCTCCTCCCTAGACAACAACATGTAGCAGGGTGGGTGAGTCAATGACGGGTAAGAGCGTGCCTCCCCAGCACGACTCAACCTAAGCCAGGCCCTACCCCATGGCGCATGAAAGCCGCTGGATCGCTAGATTCCGCCCCGAATCTAGATGCCTCTCCAAAGGGGATCATAAGGAGAGACGTGAGCGTATGCCTATGTGCACCCAGGTTCCGTCTGACCTATCCCTGGCCCTGGAAAAAAGGACGAGGGCCTCAAGGCCTTGGTGGACCCTGGGACGGCCGCCCGGGTTCCAACCCAAAGGCCTGCGGTGGGCCTCAGATACAGGGCGTAGGCCTCTACGCTCGATCCAGGACGGGCTGCAATGCGCTCGTTCTTGTAAAATAAAATAGGGGGAGATGTTGGGAGCCGTGGCCGAGCCCGGTCGCCTTACTTGGCGGACGTGAGGCCTGTAAGAAAGAGCAAAGCCTGAGCTAGATTACCCCTCCCATCGAGTGTGCTAAGATGGCGCTTATCTCCTGCTTCCTGCTTGGTAAACAACCCGCTCTGTAAGATAGTCTGCCTAGCAACAACTGATGTTAGCCAATCAGCCTGCATCGCGCGCTTTGAACTGATTGGCCACTGTAACCCTATAAAAGTGAGTGCCTCTCCCGCCATGAGAGAAGAAGCACGGAAGGAGCCGCGGAGAGCAGACCGGTAGAGGCTTCGGCCGGGAAGAATCCTGGGGCAGACTGTACGGAGAGGGAAAATAAAGAAAGCCCAGCCACTGCCAGATCTTGTCGTGTGTTCTTCCTGCCGGCCGGGAGCGACACCGACAAGGGGAGATTAAAGAGACCACTAAAATAATGTATAATGTCATAGGTGCTCGATTTACTCTTCTATAAAATTGAGGTGGGTCAGGGAGTCTTGTGGTCAAGGTGGTGTCAAGAATAATTATAACACGGACTCAAGGGAGACACCCTCCAGCTTCCTTCTGTCTGGTGACAGCTTTCTGGGTAGCTTGCTCTCCTCACACGAGGATGCCGTGAGAGGCAGACTTCTGTTAGAGCCACGCAGATGTTAGGAAATCCCAGGGCGAGTGTGCACGATGCTTCCTGATTATGTTCAGCCTCTTTCTGAACGCAAACTGGCTCTTCCCACCTTTCCTGCCTGAGTTTGTCATGTTTTCAATGCAAACTAAATCTTTCAGAAGAATCACACATGACAAATACTTCTATATGCTGTTAGCATCCAGCCCTGTCAGCCGTTCTTCTGCCTTTCCAGCTACTGAGAAGACTTCGTCATCACGTTTAAAATATGTTCAAGCAAAACCTTAAGGCAAAGTCAGTATAATCGCAGTAGCATAGTATTGGAAATGTTTTTATTTGTGCAGATTTCTAAAAATCTTAAATTTCAAATCCCCAAGAAACTGATTTTCAGGGAAATATTAGCTACGTCAGGATGTAAGTGAAATTTAAAGTGTGTATATTGAGCTGCAGCACTATAAAGTCTATTTATCTGACAAATACATTAATTTACACAGCTATGTCATGCACTTACTGTCATGAACTGTGATTTTTCTTTTTTTTTTTTTTTTTTTTTTTTTGGTACCAGGGATCGAACTCACGACCGCGCTTGCCAGTAAGGTGCTTATACAGCTGAGCTAAATTCCCAACCTGGACTGTGAATTTTTAAAGCTGTGTTTTGCTTTGCTTCCAAACTTGATCATTTCTCTTTTTGGCACCAGCAACTCTGTCACCCTGTGTGGGCCCTGCGTGTGCCCTCTGGGTGTGGGCATGAGCCGTTCCTCTGGCTCCCGGGATGACTAGCATTCAAGTCCAGTGCCTTAGACCAGCTGCTCCTTAGCCAGAGTGACTCTCAGCATGGTGGAGGGCACCCAGTGAGCCCTGTGCCAGGGCGTCACCTGGAGAATGGAGCCCTCACTATGGGCCCTTGAGAGCCAGACCGGTAGCCCTTGGGAGCTTCATCCCCAGGGCCGTCTATGAGGGAGGCCACTTCAGCAGGGCACAGAGCTGAGCCCTGGGAAGAAGCTGTGTTCTGGGGACCTTGCTGAGCCCTGGTCACTTGACCATGGACCTTTACACTTTGATTCAAATGCTCATTGATCAGGAAGTCTTTCAGAGATCTTAGATCATAAGACAACACCACATATTGGCATACGCAGCACAATGCCGGGAATATCAGGTTAGAACAAAACAAGGCATAGAAGGGGAAATTAGGAACGACTGGATGAATCAGGAAAATTCAGGAGGAGAGCTGCATCCTAGCCACATCCCATGTGGAGAAGATGCAGTGGTAAGTATCTGGGGGAGGAGGATGGTACGTAGAGAAGGGAGCTCATGTATGTGGTCCTGATCCTCGGTGTCCCCTGTCAAACCCCAGAGACCAGAACAGGGAACGTGAGAGACATGGAGTGAGCGGCCACCTGTGCAGGAGTCGGGAGTGTTCTAAGTCTGAGAAGTCACGCTGTGAAGTCGTCAGGAACCCGCCAAGGAGGATCCCCGCACACTGCTCTGCAGGGAGCTGGTTTGAGAGGCAGAAACCTGACGACAATGAAACTTGCTCTGAGAGAGAAGAGAGAAGGCAGCTTTGTGCTAAGAGGCAATGGCCGTGTGAATGTAGAGTAGCCAAAGCCGGAGGAGATTTGGGTGAGCTTCAGGCAGAGTGGAGGAGGAAACCCGGACATGGCAAAGTTCTCCTCTAACGCTAAGTGAAAGGCCTGCTCCTGCTGTTCCTCACAGTAAGCACCGGCACCTCCTGCACAAGCTCTCTCTCTTCTGCCTTTCGTGTACGTGCTGCAGTCTGGTTGCCCTTGTTGGAAAAATAAAACTGTCCTACCCTCTAGTATCCCTTCCATGCTGATGTGGAAGAATGCAATTTATCAGAAAATTATTCATTAATTGCACTTAAAGTGATATGAAATGACAACAAAGTCCAGACAGAATTTAGCATGAATTAAGCAATAAAATAGAAAAAGATCAACTTCTCTTATTTCCTTCAGAAGCAACGGGGTACATCCTGCGTCCTCCTCCGGACACTCCCTGAAAGACTGTGAGTTCATTGTGCAAGTGTGTGCTACAGCTCACAGCTCAGCGGATCTGGGGCCTCGCACTGTAAAGTGAAAAGGTCGGCCCTGTCCTTAGATTTTTTCAAGAGAGCACGTAATTCCCTAAGGACGGGAGGAGACGGCCACCTCCCTGCTCTTCCATAAATGAAGGAAGTCTTACCATTTTACACGCCCGCCCGGCAGCACGGTCTCCATAGCTCCTCAGCTTGTTTACACCGCCGGTTTCTCCCTGAGCCCAGTGCCTGGGACTGTTGACTTTGACTCTGTACAACCCACATTCAGCACAAGGATTATGGGGATCCTTGGCTCCCCAAAGGCAGTTCAGCAAATCCAAGGTCTGGTCACCTGGTGGTGATGCAGTTACCACAGAGTCCATCACCGTCTTGTGCGGGTGCCCCCCAGAATTCTGGCCCAGTGTGTCCCAGGGACTTTCTGCTCTGGGCTGCTACTGCAGGGCCCATAGCTCTGGAACCCCTGAGCCTGGTGATCTCCCAACTGCAACTTTTTAAATCACTTCTTCCTGACCCAATGTGGATAACAAGTCTACCCAGGCCAGAAGGTGGCATGTGGCAGAGGCTGTGGGACCCTCTTCTGGTCTGTCCCATGTACACCCTGAGGGGTCGCCTCAGAAGAGCAAGTCAAGAGGGTGGATCCCACTGGGGGGTGTGACACTCCTTGTGGTGCTGTGAGTGGGCTGTGAGCTGTCCCTCCAGGCATCTGGCCACCACCCAGTGCCTTCCTGTTCTGCATTCTAGGGCTCAGCTCTCTGGTGGGAGCTCACAAGCAGGATGACCACAGAGAGGAGTCCAGAGCACCCACTGCTGTGGTCCTGTGATGTCACGCACAGCTGGGCGTCAGGAGAGCGTCTGGGTTTACTGAGGATGTCACAGGGAGACCGAGGAAAGGGTTTTATTGGATGCCCATAGAAGCCTGCAGGCCTTCAGGCTTTGCCCTTGCTCCAAAGTGCTTGCTGTGTGGTACCTGTGTACAGCTCTCCTGTCTTTTTCCATCTTGCGTACCTTCTTTTCCCCACCTCCTTTTGGACAACCACAGCAGCTTTCTCTCCTTTCCATTCCTGCTCAGTTCTACTGATTCCTCTTTGGTGTTCTCCAAAAATATATCCCTGACAGTCAACCAGCCCAGTAACGGGAAGTGTTCATATTTAAGTAAACAGCTACAAAGAAGGAATTGCACAAGTCCATAATTTAGTGCGTTGTCTTTCTATCCACTTACAACCAACTCTTCTTGAATGGGTCTCTGAAAATATGAATAAAAGTCTACTGTCTCTTGTTGCAGATCTCACGCTCACTGAAAAGCCAGTGCGGCTTCTGGCTTGGTCAGGTGGGGAACTCACGCTGTCTACCTGAGACCCCGACTTTCTCAAAGACTGTGTTGCCTGTGAGATTTGAGTTCTTTCCAGCAATAGTAATTCTTATTACCATAGCTTTTACTTCTCAAATTCCAAACCTAGTCTTTTTTTTTAACTGTCAGCTAGGAAAAAATGTAAATAGCTTTGTTGTTCATTTCAGAAATTTCCCGAAGGATCATCCACCTTTTTGCAGAAAGTGTGGGCGGGAGGTTTACAACCTTGACACTGCTCTGCCTGATGTGTCTGGGTGCTCACCCATCCCCCAAGGCTTCTCACTGCAGACCTCTTGTAACCAAACTCCAGCACCCCATCACTGGCCTCTGCTTAGGGGGCGCTGCTTCCCACAGTGAGCAGAGGCAGCTCTGCTTACCTTCAGGCAGCAGGAATGGAGGTGCCTCAGTTCATGAACTTCATTTGTTCTGCGGCCCTGGAAAAGACAGCACACTGGTGGCTGTGCAGGAAAATGACCCAGATCATCTGTGTCACCCAATGCATAGTTTGCAGCCAATACCAAAATTTTGCCAAATGCCTTTGTGAAACAAATTGTTCCCCAACAAAACTGATCTTGAACTGAGATAACAGTGTATTTGCATGTTATTTCAGGGAGTTAGCATTTGACAGTTGTTAGAACTATGGACGCCTGGGTGATGACGACTAGGGATCTAACTTGAAAACACTGAGGTTACTTCAGACAGAGTGCTGGATACCCTTACCTGGATGTTTCTGGGTCTCAGAAGGTAAATATGGAAAAGTACCACCTGTTTCTTTTGTAAAATATACGTCATGTAACATAAATGTGAAGTTGAATGCCCTGCCTACAGTGGGAAGCATAAATTCCTGCAGATTTGTATAACTTCTCAGGCACCCTAAACCCCTACCTGTTATCACTCAGAGCTCGACTCATTGTTAAAACTGAGAACCAGTAGAATGTTAAAAATAAAGCCCTTGGTTATCAGACTCGTAACTATTTCAGACAATGTGTGTGTGAGTGTAGGATAGTTTGAACTTCAGCTGTGTTGAAACAGGGTCCTGCCCTGCTGTGGGTGGTCTGGAGTTCGCCCTCCTCCCCTCAGCCTCCTGAGTAACTGGGCCACAAGCTGGCGCCAGGCTGAACCCCATTCTCATGAGGCTCGTAATTCTGGAAAATGAGTTTTTTCTCCTTCACACCAATTCTTATCACTTCATAGTGTTCCTGAAGGAAATGCTTGGTGGACCCTTCCCTTATCAGCTTTTAGGCTCTCATGTGTTAATCAGGTGAGGAAAGTTCCCAGAAGGCACTGGCTGCCCAGTGGGCACTCAGTTGGGCTTCATTTTATCTCCTGGCTTGGGCTTCTTA